GAATATAATGTGTTTACTGTTTTACCAAAAATATATAATCCAAAATCTATACATGTAACCAAATACTAATAGAACATAAATGCACTTAAACTTCAATTATTTGTTGAATAAAAAATTAAAAAATATAACTAATGATATCAAAGATTCTTGTTTTGTCATATAAAAAAATTTAAAAAGTAAAACTAATTTGGGTGGTAATTGTTTTAGTTTGTTGAAAGAAATAATAAAAAGAAACCAATCGAAGACTTTCCTATGTCCGTGCTTATATGGATACGGAGTTAGCATATAATAAGTTGCAAAGAATGCAACCACTGGGCCAGTGGCTTAGTGGCCACCAGGAAGGGGTTTAAGTCCCTCTTTGAACTGTAGGTGAGGTTTAAACCTCAATTGCAGTGAAAAAAAAAAAAGTTGCAAAGAATGAAAATTATTTGAATTTTCGTAATGGTAATAAATAATAAAACCAAATAAAGTGAACAAGGAAAAGGAATAAGTGGTGAAAAAATAAAGTTAGGATTGAATGTTAACAAAAACAAATAAAAATAAAATAAAATAATTAATAGTTGTTCAAATAAAAAATTAAATTTAAGGCTAAAAACAGGTCTCAACGAGTCGGACAGAAGTATGTTCAAAATTGGTTCAAAAATTAAAAGGAATGTTTGAACTTGACTTGTATTTGATAATTTTTTGAAAGAAATTGATCGAACTTGACGTGAAATTTCTGATGTGTATTCACGAAAAGCTTGGCTTAGCTTGTTTAAAAATCAAGTTTAAGCAAATACAATCAAAGTTAGGCTTGGTTTGGCTTGACTGGAAATTTCACGTTGTATTATATAGAGATTTTCACTCTAATTTGTTGTTTTTTTTCCTTAAGTTTTGTGTTTTGATATTGAAGAAATCTATTATGATGAATTAGGAATGCGATTAAAGTCAATTATACCTATTCAAGGGATCTATTACGATGAATTACGGATGTAATTAAAATCAATTATGTTTATTCAAGAGATAAGAGTATTATATGGTTGTTATTTTATAAGATAAGCAATATACAAGAAGGAAAGAAGCGGAGTTAAGAAAGGAAAGTTTAGACATATTTTTATGAAATTTACTTGCTTTATGTGTTCTTGAACATATCGAGTCAGACAACGTGAAAATCATGATTGGTTTGTTAATATTTTCAAGTTTAAAATTATGTTCGAGTTTGGATTGATATCTAAAGAAATAAACTTGAACAAAGTTGGTTCGGGCCGAATTCAAGTAGAGTACCAAGTTATTTGGTTTGATTTACAAGTCTAATTAACTTTGGCCATGTGGTGATCGAATAAAGTATGGATGTGTCTAATAGGTATCCACTGGACCCTGGTTATCATATATTTCAAGTGTTATATATTTGAAAATGTAAGATTAATTAGAGAAAGTAAGTAAATAAAAAATATATATAAATGTAAAGGATGATAACAATTATTACATATAAATGTATGATAGATTATGTAAATTTTAGATGTTTATCATGTGTGTGTAAGAGTAGTTACCATTTTAATATGATTGCCTTTCTTCATTTCTTCACCAATGATTCTTCCAGCTTACTCCAAGACCCCACATGTTTCCAGTCCCCACCAATTTCTCTTTATTTTTCCTATCATCACCCCATGTTAAACCACTGCTTTATTGACACGCATATGCAGGACCACTTTATTCTAATTTTCTACCCATGGTTGGTGTAATTGGTTGTTCTCATTAATTAGGTCAACAAATGCCACGTTACTTCTCTAGTGCGGGAACTCTGTCCACAATAACAAATTAATAACTTCACATTCGTACTTCAATTCTCTCTCTCTCAATCATCTTTACGTCTGTTCACTCTGTGTCTCACAAGCCCATCACAATGGCTTCAAAGGACCAGGGGCTAGGACGGTTGCCAGGCAGGCCACCATTTCAGAAACTTTTGACGCTCCAAATTAGATGAGCTAATATCAACGCACAAAACAAAGCCACGTCGCAAGTGAAATGAGAGCTGAAGACAACAGCGTCGTTTAAAAAAGTGGAACAAAAAAAAAGAGAAATTGTAAAGAAATACCAAACAGAGTTTGCTACAAATCCCAAATGTTAAGGGTATGAAAAATTCAAAATCAAAATTTGAAAATCAACTTTTGGTATGATCAGGCGGGCTTTAAAACTCTTTCAACTTAAAAGAGGTGAGAAGAAAATAGTGGTAGTGGGTTTTCTCTGAACACAATATATTGTCGCTGCAGCTCCTTATGTTCTTCCAATTCTTAAATAAACCCTATCAAAACGGCATCTAGTCCGAGGTGTGCACAAGATAATTGTGAAAATCCATTGCAGCAACAATACACACCGATTTAACTTGTGGATGACCAAGATAGATATTCATCGAGTAACAAATGCATAGCCGGGCTTTAAAACTCTTTCAACTTAAAAGAGGTGAGAAGAAAATAGTGGTAGTGGGTTTTCTCTGAACACAATATATTGTCGCTGCAGCTCCTTATGTTCTTCCAATTCTTAAATAAACCCTATCAAAACGGCATCTAGTCCGAGGTGTGCACAAGATAATTGTGAAAATCCATTGCAGCAACAATACACACCGATTTAACTTGTGGATGACCAAGATAGATATTCATCGAGTAACAAATGCATAGCCGGGACTTGTGAACGGCCCATCTGAAATCCATTGCATGGTCAACTCTGTCCAAGGTAAATGCTATAGGTAATTTGATTGTAATAAATGTGTTATCTAGTAAAGCTTGATTTGAAAATTACAAGAAGTATGTCATTATCCTTTTACAGAGAACATACATCTAGATGGTTAATTTGTACAATAAAGATCCCGTACAGGGTTTCAAAAAATAAATGACGATGTGTACAAATAAAATAACATAAGCGTAAAAATAACTTAACAATGTGGCCAACTTAAATAACTACACAAACAGTATAAATGACAATGCATAGATTTTGAGAACTCTGTCGAACCTTAAGCTATGTAAAAATGTATTTTACGTATATGCATTTGTTATGTTACAAGTTGATATAAAGGGTGTACACATTGTTATAAAGTGTGTACATATGATTGTAAAGTATGTAAATACTAATATTATACACAAATTGGTTATAATATTTGTTTGAAATGTATATATTATATAGTGAAATATGCTTTGCAAATTATTAGAGTTATGTGATTACCTATTACAGAGAAGATATATATCCATAAAAATTATTTTACAAAATGTTGTAAAGTGTGTACACGTCGTTATAAAGTATGTACATATGTGAACATAAATAATTAAGTGCTTATGATGTGAACAAGAAAATAAAAAACAAATATAATAGACATAATTTTTATGGAGAATATGAAAATTTACTTGAAATCACTTAAATGGGTATTTAAAAATAATAAGGTAATAAATCATATAACGAATCAGACCAAGTAATACCAAGATTTATAAGCTAATGATTTGCTGTATGATAATATGCTACTAATTCACCTTGAGTTTGTCCTGAAAAACAATAGCAAAAAATGCTTTTGTCGAATACAGCACAATGGAGGAAGCTTTGGGTCTTAAAATTGATATGTAGTTTCAGTCAGAAGATGAGGCATACAACTTCTACAATAAGTACGGATTAGTTGTTGGGTTCAGTATTCGGAAAGACTACTTAAACAAGGATAAAGACGGTGTAGTTACATCGAGAAAGTACACATGTTGTAAAGAAGGTTTCAAACGACGGTACGAAGGAGATGTAAAACCAAAGAGAATTCGAGCTGAAACAAAAACCTGATATGAAACTAAAATGAGGATAATTTTGAACAGAGAAACAATGAAGTATCAGGTTCGAGATCTAGTAATCGAGCATAATCACACACTACACATTCCAGAATATGCTTATATGATACATTAGCAAAGAAAAGTATTTCTCAAGGAGTCCAAGCTGAGATTGCAAATGATGCAAGAATATCCTTGAAATAATCCCATGAACTCATGGGAAAAGAGGTAGGTGGATTAGATAATATTGGCTACACTCGTGATGAATTAAAACGTTATCCACGAACAAAAAGAGAGAGGGGATTAAAGTATGGTGAAACTGGTGCAATGCTACTTTCAAAAACAAAAATTGGAGAATCTGTCATTCTTCCACGCTAAGCAGCTTGATTGTGAAGAACAAATTACAAATATATTTTGGGCTGATGCATCAATGCTGATAGATTATACCTATTTTAGGGATGTAGTTACATTTGATACCACATATAAAACTAATAAGGAGTACAGACCATTGGGCGTATTTGTGAGATTCAATCAATTTAGACAATTGGTTATTTTTGGAGCAATCCTATTGTATGATGAGACCATTGAATCATTCAAGTGGGTGTTCGGTACACTTGTAGAGGCAGCTTGTGGAAAGCACCCAAAAACCATCTTCACAGATTAGGATGCAGCCATGGCCGCTGCAATTTCAGTTGTTATGCCTTCAACATACTATGGTCTGTGTACTTTTCATATTAGAGTCAATTTCATGAAACACCTTGGGAACTAATACAAGAATGGTAGTAATCTCCCATATAAATTTGCTAAATGTATGTATGAGATAGAAGATGAAAATGAGTTTATCATGACCTGGGATACAATGCTAAAAGAACACAAACTCGAAACAAATGAATGGTTGTGTGGCATTTATACGTATCGAAAGAAATGGGCAAAATGCTTCATAAAGGCGCTTGGACTGCAGGTATGCGTAGCACCCAACTAAGTGAGAGTCTAAATGCTTCCATAAAAAGTTATCTGAAACTTGATCATGATCTGGTTCAATTTTTCAAACATTTTAATCGAGTCGTGGATGAAAAAAGATATAATGAACTAAGAGCTGAATATCACAGTCGATAGAAGCTGCCAATGCTGGGATTGCAACAGACTCCCGTACTGATTTAGGCAACTTTTATATTCTCCCCATGCATGTTTGTTGCATTCCAGAATAAATATGATGAATCCACTACAATGGCGATCTTGGACCAAAAGCATACTACAATGCATGTGGAATACAGTGTCAGTCGGTATGATGGAGGAAGGGAGAGAAAAGTGACATTGAATTCAATAACTAAAGACATTACTTATAGTTGTAATCTTTTTGAGCAGGAAGGAATCCTATGCTCACATGCTTTAAAGGTGTATAATATGGTTGGAATAAAGTTTATTTTTGATCAATATGTGACAAAGAGGTGGACAAAGAAGGCAAGGTCCGGAGGCAATGTTGATTGTAAGGATAGAGAAATATCATCAGATCTGTCTCTCTCTATTTTCCATCGATATAGGCTATTAACATTCGAAATGGTAAGACTTGCTACAAGAGTTGCCATGTCAGAAGCCGCTACAAAGTTAGTCAGTAGCGTAATGTCTGAATTGTCAAAGAGAGTCAAAATACTATTTTGTGGAGAAATAAATGAAATAACACAGAATAGTGCATCAATGGATCTATGTAAGAAAATACAGGTGCAGAATGCAGCTGGCCACTTTGTGACTCCAACGGGTTTGAAGAAACAAAGTGGCAGAAAAACTAAGAAAGTATTGCGTAGTTGGGTGAACAGGTTTCATTGGCAAAAGAAAAGCTCTAAATTGTCTAAGGCAAACACTCCTGAAATGGTTAGTACTGAATCTTTGATATGGATTTACATAATTATATCATTTCAATTGACTCTACTATCATAAGCCAACTCAGTTGTTGTATATTCTTCTTTTGTCAGTCATCAGAATCCTATCAACCTATCCAAAGCCAAACATCAAGCAAATGTTTGTCATCGAATAATTCTGTGGTAGTAAGTGGCTATTTTTACACTTTACGTAATGTGTATTATAATTCATTGTTAGTTATTTAGTTGTTACAAATTAGTGTTTTACTTGTACACATTGGTTATTAAGGTGTACATATTAGTGATAGGATGTTCATCACATGTTATTTCTTTTTAACATAGTAATATCACATTTTGTACACATTAGTTTCTACGTATTACGGCGATATCTTGATTTAATAGCATTTACATGTTGTTATTTTATGTGTACAAACTGATATATATATGTCGTACGCATTGATTGATACCAAGTATCACTGCTTACTTTGTTTTGAAATATCGTTATTGCATTTTGGACACATGGTTACACCTTTGGATAAAATTTTTTGTCAAATTATTGTTTTGTTTGCACACATTTATTTTTTAAATCGTACAAGTTACAATTATTTATCATTTGTTGTTTAGTTTTGACATCATGTTATTATTCTGATACACGGTGTATTTTATCTTGTACACACTACAAAAAGACATTTTTAAATCTTATGCATAGTTTCTTGAATTTAATGCAGCAGTTATGTATTATATTTATAGTAGCCCATAAGTTTGTAGTATAACTTTACAATTTATTCATTTAAAATGCTCGCGCATGTACTGAATTTTGATTTTTTATAGATTACTTTCAGTTATTTTTTGTTTACATATTGTTAATTCAGTTGAACACGTTGTTATACATTATGTACACATTTGCATCTTAGTTTTCATACATCATAGCATCTTAAATTTTGGACACAATGTGTATTTAATTTTGGCATCTTATTATTTTGTTGTTATACACATTGTAAGTATGACTTTGCACCTAATGTAATGTGCTACTTGTGATAACAGTCATTCAGTAAATCAAATTTTGGATCATCCCCAGTTATTTACTCGGATATGCAGTCTTGTAAGATGGTAAGTGAGATATTGCACTTATGTGAATAATCAAGATTTTGTTAAAATTTATAGTATCTTATTCAGTACAATATTGAAATCTAATCCGGCGAACCTGTAATCACTTCTCAAACACTGGGTGCTGATAATATCCGTATTCAAGGTTGTAATAATCTCCCACTATTTATTCTTAATGATCCTATGAGCAAGTCAAAGTACAGCTCATTCACCGAATTCTTAATGGTGAGTAATTCTTTAAAAAAAAATTTAAAGTTGTTATTTAGAATTATTCTAACCTTGCTACAAGATTATTGTAGGGCATGCTATTATGAACAATGAATATTTGATTTAAATAATTTGATAATTTTTTCAATGATTGCCAGACCTCATTGTGGCTTCTGTGGAAAGGCCAAAAGCAATGCTCCCATACATATAAGCGACGAAGAAGTGGAATTATCTGCAATATAAATGGGTAGAAGCTAATTGCCTTCCATGAAAATCTCCATCAAGAGAACAATATTTACCAATTTCAAAAGTCAATATTAGAATGATTATGGAATATGTATATAAAGATGATGTATGTTGTGACCCTTCGGAACTGGATTGGAACAATGTAAGACTAAAATGATTATCTTTTTTTTTTTATATTAGATAGTAGTTTGAGAATTGCAAGCAATGTAGAATAGTTGAAGACCATTTACATCTCTTGAATTGATTACAACAAGTTATATATTAATCGTGGTGTGCCAACCCTGTCTACCATAAACAAAACATTATGATCACTAGTAATAAAAACTTCATAACTAATGAATTTTGCTCCCAACAGTTACCCAAAAGGAGATAATTCTATACAACACAAGTACAAAATTATTGAGCATCTATGATATAGGTTTGCACATAACTACAAACTACAAGATATTTTTCAATCATAAATTACAACTGGTTTTTCCGTCGGGGAGGGATATTTAACTTTTGAAGGATAGATTCGACCTATTCGTTATGCTCAGTTGCAACTAATATAGAAGCATATTGCACTCAATACTTTCATACTAGTGTGAATACCCGTGCTACGCACGTTGCTGACATTATTTTAAAAAATAAAAATAAAATGATGAACAAATAAAGGTGAAAAAATTGAACCAATAAATTAAAATGTAATATCTGTTTAACAATAGTTTGAAATATAATAGAATTTGTATATTATTCAAGAACTGTCTTTTTTCAGAAGATGGATCCTGAAAAAAAAAATAAAAATTTATATTAAAAATGGGAATGATATATTTCTACAAATGAATGTAGTTGAATGTTGTATGAGAATTGTTAACCCAAAAAATACAATAGTTAATATAGAAATAGCATCAATAGAATTTAATACCATTGTATTGGAATCAAATGAAAATTACGTACCAATAAAATTGGTATAAGAACCCTTACAATTGTATTGTTCTAACGTATTTGATCCTACAGCCAAATTTTCCGTTGACAGGTTATACATACTTCTCCACTAATCTAGAGATTAGACACTTAAACGTTCATTCTGGTAGGCACTAAAAAAAAGTATATGAAAAAGTATATTATTTCCAAATTCCCTCTTAAAGAATGTAAATAATAGTATGTTAATCGCTTTCAATCTTTATTTTGTAATAATGACCGGTACTTCGATTGCACTTGAAAATTTTTAGTCCAATGAAACTACTGGAAATTTCCTGTTACTGAACCTCCCCATCCCACGCGTCCAATTACAAGCACCGACGCGAGGAGATTGTAGAGTAGCTCACTTTTTCCCAACTTTCAGCAAGTAGCCCACCAGCGTCAGCCACACATATTTGCAATTCCAACCCCCCCAAACCCCACAAAACCAACCACCATTTATTGAAAACAAACCAATAAATGCACTGAAATGCCTCCCATCTATACCTCGAATTGCACTTTAACCCACGAATTTTTATTTTAGGTACTTTGACCGCTTATTGTTATTTTTTTGTGCGAAATTATCCCTCTAATTGCTTTTGTCTTTTTGGATTTTTTCACATGTCGCTAACTGCGTCATTCCCTCTGCTATCACTTGTATATTTAAAATCAATTTTTAATATTAAATAAAAAGGAATCTATTAGTTTATAATATGTTCATAATGTAGATAAATTATTAAATTTGGAAAAGGGCGTATGTTCTTATAGGCTTCTTTTCTTTTCTTTTTTGGGGAAAATGAGTTTGTTCTTGTAGGTTTTTTTTTGGATATAGAATTGTTTGTCAAAGATTTTGGTTCTTAGTCCGTACTATGTTTAAACCATCTTTTAATATCCAATTCAATATAGTCTTTTAATTTGGCAGCCTCTATAATTTTTAATTTATTCTTTTGGTTTAATTTCAATTAGAATTTAGAATTTTTCAAATACCAAGAGAACCAGATTTTTTTTTAACCACCGTCTTCAATTCCCCATCTAAAGACCCTTGTGGATTTACCGATTATGAATAGGATAGAAGATGTGGTTATTAGAATTTAAAAGCTACCGCCATACTGTTTCCTATTTCGTTTTTCTTTATTTCTTTTGGGTCAAGGTAATCTTTCATCCTTGCGAGAGGATGGGAAGCTACCGCCATATTGGTGTTTGTGCGTTTTAGTTCATGTTTAACTATCTTGTACTGGACCTACTGAATGTGGTAATGTTGCTTGGACTTGTTTCTCTTTGTTAAGGCAGTCCAGGGAGTTGAATCAATTCACAGTGTGAAAATAAACTTGGTAATCCTGTTATGAATCTTTCTTTCCAGAATGAGGCATTGCAATCTGGTCTTCTTAATACATTAGTTAAAAACATATCTTTATACCATCTGAAGTCTGATAATGTTGGGCATCTTAAATTTGTTAAGAATGTTTTATTAGAATTTAATTCTTCTTTTGGGTTTCCTATAAAATACATTACTATTGTTACTATTAAAAACTCTGCAGCATCTGACTGTATTTGAATATTTCCTTGATCATCTTCAATTTCTTGTGTATGATCTAATATTGATAATTTATCTTGAAGAGTTAGAGCATTATCCCACCAATTTTTTAATTGTCCAGTAAATCCTGAAACTAATAGTGTTGCAATATTTCTTTCTTGAATATTTTTTATTTTATAAGCTAATCTGGTCATTCCCATTTCTTGCAAATTATTTAATACTTCATATTCAACTTTACCATCTACATTCCATTCATATATAGAATCTCCATCATATTTTGTTGTACGAAATTTTGATCTTTTTTCATATTGAATATCTGGAGGGCTGGGTCTAGGATAATAATTTTTTGAGCTTACCATTTTTCAATTTTCTTTATTATTATTATAAATTCTTTTTTAACTTACCGCTATTTTTTCGGACAAAACTGCATCTCTCTCGGCTGCCTTGCTAGGGTAGCCGCCCATGGCTGTGCCTCAACCCCCGGAAGAGGGGGCTTCACCAACAAAGAAGAAATCTTTCTCCCAACTATTCACACAACCAGATACATCTCCAATTCAGATTCGGCAAAACACCACATACAAGGGTGAAGCGGCTGTGGTTTTCTCCAGGGAAGAGGCGGACAGATTGGCAGCACCATACCGCCTGGCTTTGGTGGGTAAGTTCTCCCATGGCAGACCACCATTGGAAGACATCAGAAAATTCTTCATGTCACTAAATCTCAGAGACCAGGTTTCTGTGGAGCTACTGGACTACCGTCACGTCCTCCTCAAGTGTGCAGCAGAAGCAGACTTCAACCGCATCTGGACACGAGGGCTATGGCAGCTTGGTAAGTACCCTATGAGGGTGTTTCGTTGGACCAGAGAATTTCATGTTCATCGTGAATCTTCGCTAGCTCCGGTGTGGGTCTCCTTACCGGCACTGCCGATACATTACCATGATAAGCATTCGTTGTTCTCCATTCTAAACCCAGTAGGAACACCTCTTTTTGTGGACTCAGCCACGGCAGCAGGAACAAGGCCAAATGTAGCTAGAGCTTGTGTAGAGGTTGATCTGCTGAAACCGATATGTTCACGGGTGTGGGTAGCTGTGGCAGGGGAACAAGGCTTCTGGCAGAAGGTTGCGGTGGATGATCTGCCAAAATATTGTTCCTCCTGCTGGCGGCTGGGGCATGCGGTGGACGAATGTAAAAAACCTGCGGAGGACCTGGGTACGATGGCACAAAGGAATGCACGAGAGTATAAGCAGGTGGGTCAGGGAACGGCGTTGGAAGGAAAAGCAAGGGCAGCAATTGTGGTGGAGCAGAATACGCAAGTGGAGAGACAGCAAGCAGCATTGGCAGTTGGCGTACGGGACGCAGGAGCTGGTGCCATATCTGCCCGGGACAGTGTTGCGCAATGTCTGGGTGCGGAGGTGCGGCAGCACGTGATGGTTGCTGATGCAAGAGACGGTGGGCAGGTGTTGGGGACCCAACGTGCAGCAGATATTTTTACTGCAACAATGCAGACAGCGATGGCAGATAATGATCCTAACTGTGGGCAGACGTTAGGTGTCCAAAAGGCAGCAGAGGCTGTTGCCGCACCTGGGGCATCAGTCACCGCTCCAGCATCTGGGTTGACAGAATCTGTTGCCGCAACTGGAGCAAGTGAGGATCGAGCAACAGTGGGGACGGTGGATGTTGCAGCTGCTAATTTGGCAGTGGTGGAGCTGGCTCCAAATGGGGGAAGAGAGCAGGCAGCGGAACTTGGAGAGAAGAGGGCGATGGACACCAGCGGCACTAGCAGCAACTCTGCTTCAAAGGATTTGAACGAAGCAGTTGCGGGTACTGCCTGTGATGATATCCCAAATGAGCAGCAATGGCAGGAGCAAGATATAGGGGATGTGGCTATGGTGCTAGCTGAACAAGGGTCTTTAAGTGCAGCTGAGGAGGAGGACTTAATCGGCGGTGCACATCCGGTATCCGCCATAATGGTGGAGCTCAACATCGATCAAGCCGACGTACTGGACCAACGGGATAGGCGAACAAGGAAAAAAGGCGCTCGGGCTCAGTTCCCATCAGATAGGCAACTGCGGTCATCGGTAACATTATCTCAAAACTCTTTCCAACCTTTATCCCATGATTAGTGGGCTATTTTGGAATATTAGAGGGGTCTCCAAACCCCCCAACCTGCGTCGTCTGATTAAGCTAGTTCGTTTGCATAACTTGAAATTTGTTGCTATTTGTGAACCGAAGCTAGCAATGTCCCAAATAGATTCTATTAAAATGCGGTTACCATTTGATTCTGTAGTGGGTAACTTGTCTGCAGACATATGGGTGCTGTTTAGTGCTCCGATTACATGTACTATAATAGGTAATTCTTCACAGCACATTACGTTACTGGTGCATCACCCGTGGCTACCAAGGTCGCTGTGCTTCTCGTTTGTGCATGCCCGGTGCACGATGAAGGAGCGGCGAATTTTATGGCAAGACCTGTTGACTGACAAACCCACCTCACTTCCGTGGTGTGTCTGTGGTGACTTTAATGTGATCATAGA